CATCCCCAGCATGTGCGCACGTACACTCACGTGTACACACATGCTTTAGTCTGTTTCTGTGTTATCAGTGTTGTCCATATCCACAAGATAGACTTCTACCAAAATACATGAAACAACTATTTAACTGACTTAAGGAAAAGTTAAAACACTTATTAATCGGACGTTGTGTGTGTGTGTGTGTGTGTGTGTGTGTACATATATACATGTATGAGGCTATAGGTTCAGTCCAGACGCAGACAAGCAGAATGAGAATGAGGTGCTTGATGGACGTTAGTTGAGAGAAAAGAGTAAAACGGAAACATGTTGACTTAACCTTTTGTTTTTTTAAGTCTCTCTCCTCTGTGATATTTTTGATATTTGCCTGACATGTTGTTGAGCTGAAAATGTGAAGAGCAGCTGCTATGTTCCCTGTGGGAACCATCTTGCTTTGAGATTATGCTTTTGCTTTTAAGGCCCTGAGGTCTGGACAGGTGGCCATGGTGAAATTTGGAGACAAGAATGTTTCTATGGCACCTGGACTGCCAGCCTCAAGAGTGGGGCCAGGCTCAGCAAGGTCCCATCTGTTTTCTTAGTCCTGCCTCCTGGGCTAAGCCAGGAGGGTTGGAGCCTTCAGGTACTGTGTTCATAGCTACCTAGCCTCTGTATCTGGTGTGTGAGCCAATGCTCCAGATGGGCATTGCCCTTAGTAACTGTCCTATGTTCCATGTGGATGCTCAGAATATGCTTTGGTTAGAACAAAAAAAAAGTAATAAAGACAATGGCTAGTTTTGTTTTCCAAAGCATTTCAAATAGAGTAAAACAGGTAAATGTAAATGGCATAAACTCTCCAGTTTCTTTTTTTCTTTTCTTTTTGGTCAGGGTAGTGGTGGTAATTTGAAACCTTAAAAGGAAATTAAGTTCTGGGTCATTTCTCAATAAAATTAAAACACTGAAACATCAATTGTTAAGCGTAAGTTTAAAATTTGTATTTTTGGCATGTGGTTTTTATATAGTACAAAGAAGCTAAATATATTTGGGTCTTTTAGTAAATGTGTCCCATTCCATATTTTTAAAATGTTAGGACTGAACACCTTTTTTCTAGAAATTATGAAAATTCTAGAGAATACTGATTCATAATTTACTAAGGACTTAAATTCTAATGGGTGGTAACTAAAAATAAGGTGGGAAACAACTCCATATACCAGGCCATTAACACATGAAGATTATAGACCATGAAGATGCTTTACAGGGGGAAAAAAAGAGTGGTTCTTCCAGTATGAGAGAAGAAAAGTATAGGAAAAATGACTAGTGGTTGAAGGAAACTCTAGAAGGTCTGACTGTGGAACATCAGTCTTGTAAAAGAAATTTTATGTAAGATCCAGTTGGCTAAGTTAGAAGGGAATTACAAGATTTTGCAAAAATTAGGCATTAATATAAAAGTACACAGATGCAAAACTATGCTAACAAGATTTTCTTAAGGTATAGATCTACTCTTAAGAATTACAAGTTTTTCTTTACTTTTTAGATAACTGACCTACTATTCTATGAGTATTTATTGTGCTTTGTGCCCTTGAAATCTTTTGTCACTTTGATTTCACAATGATTCTTTGATCCTATTTAATCCCTGTGATGTTTTTGACAAACTTCCCCACATCAAATTCTAAAACTACACCTTTTTGAACTTGAACTACTTTGGGATTTCCAGAGGGAAAGTACAATAGAGATGAATTAGGCTTACTTCGATTTGCTAAATCATATAGGCAGCATTGTCGAATAAAAAATGATCTTTACCTTTTTCAGATGTATGGATTTGTTAATGTGTGCTCCGAAAATTGTATGATTCCTAGAAATCTGACGTGTCTTGGTATGTCCTATTAGTCATGATTCTAGTTATGTTAAATTACTATATACCACAGAGATAAACTTTAATCAGATCATGAGTCATGGATACCTTAAGTTTTGTTGTTCATAGTTAAATTGAAGTGCTATGTCTTTGTCAAGGAGTTCATGAAAAGGATGAAAAGAACTCTAACAAGCACAGATTTCTAACTTTGGATCTGGTAAGAACTCACAAGTTTTGATGGGTTTATAAAACTGTTGACTACAATCAAACAGTATAATTAAACAAGACTGATGAACTGATGAAAAATAATTATAGGTTTTTACTTTTTAACATTGCTTTTTGTAGTTCACTTTCCAGATTTATGGAAAGTTTCTTTCAAACTACAGTTTACTATAATTTCATAAAATATGCTTTTGTAAATGAAAATTCAAACATTCACTTTTTCTCCTTATCTGATCCCTCCAGAATCTGGAAGCTATATTTGAGTATACTTATTTATATGGCAATATGGTTATTTGCATAACTTCAAAAAATTATTTTTATAACAGGATACAATTGAAAATACTTGTTGTCACTAGGATGCCATATTTAAGAATATCCATAGAAACTCTGCCCTCAAGGGTTCCCAGCTTTATAACAAGTGAGTAAAAATCATCACATCCTGGGAGGCCCAAAACCCTCAAGATTACAGGTTAAGGGGCTGGGTTTGTGGCTCAGCAGTAGAGCACTCACCTAGCGCATGCAAGGTGCTGGGTTCAATCCTCAGCACCACATAAAAATAAATAAAAATAAAAGGTATTGTCCAGCTACAACTGTGTGTGTGTGTGTTTATTTTTTTTAAAGATATTTTTAAAAGATTACAGGGTATTATAAGTCTGAAGTCTGCCTTGGTTTGGCTTTCTAGTCTCAAGGTGTTTTAAAAGTCCAATCTGAAGTTTCTTGTCAAATTTCCAACCAAACTAATTTAAAAAGAGCTGTGGTTATTCTGGCTATTCTTACGCATATTATCAGACCTTCTGTCTATTATGCATATAATAGACCTATTGTGCAAACAAATTGATCTTAATGTGATTACTTGGAAAAAAAACTGGGGTGATTATAGACTGAAAAATGTTTCAGAAAAAAAAAAATACAGTACACTTACTAATGATTGTAGCCCTGTTCATTGCTTTTGGAGTTTTTTTGTTGTTGTTTTGTAGCTGTACATGGACAGCATACCTTTATTTTATTTGTTTATTTTTATGTGGTGCTGAGGATCAAACCCAGTGCCACAAGCATGCTAGGCAAGAGCTCTGCCACTGAGCTACGGCCCTAGCCCGGCTTTTAAGTTTTTATGATTAGCATAGACTGCTCTAGTTTCTGGATTCATCTAGTTTTCTATAATATCTGGCTATAACTCTCCAATTAAGAACAAAAACTGCTCAGTTCCTTAAGCCCTGTAAACTGAAGCTGGACAACTCAATGTACATTTCAAGAGATTAGTCTCGTGCCTTTTGTGCAGGCCATTTCAGGTAAGCTGAACTGGCACTGGGTGAAGGCACCTGAAGCTACACTTTGAACCCCCAAGTGCCTAGTGGGCCACATCTAAAATGCCTGATCACAGCCAGGGATATTAAACTACACACCAGATGAGAAAATGATTTCACACTGTGAGCAACTTCTCCGGAGCTCATGGAACAAGAATCCCTACCATAAGACTCTGACCCCACCCTCTTAATTTTTCTTTGCTGTTGCTTACCTCTCTAGCTTTGCAGTATGCCAAGAATTTCTCAAAAAGTAATTTCTGTGGGTGACCTGATGGAGTGTTGGATCTGTCACGTCAAACCCAGATCTTTATAGTCCTAAGAGATCCTTTAGTCCACCTCTTGTATGGACCAGGTTAAGTTTAGCAACATCCATAGTGCAACCACCTGTTCAAAACTATACTATGGTCTTATAATTTTATAGGGTTAGCATGCCCTGCTTTAATTTATCCCATTCCTCTTTTTTTTTCTTTTCTAATTGGTGCTTAGGATAGAAGCATAGGCAGGCCTCTTACCACTAAGCTACACCCCCAGCCCTAACCCACTGCTGGGATGCTAGATGATAGGACCTAGCTGAACAGGGAAGGGATCAGTTGCTGACACTTCTCATTCCATATAAATACATTGGGTACTGCAAAAATGAATGAACAGACTCTACTTCGTTAAAACAGATTTCTCATCTGTCTCTGATCTATTCGATGTAGCTGGTTTGGTTTATGGAGACTGGCTAAGGAGCATAATTCCAAACTCTTGATATTATTCTCTAGTCATAATAGTAGTCATCCTGGTTGTAGCTTCCCAAAGAGTTTTAACTGCATACAGTCATCTGACGAATTTCAATGGTCTCTTTTGGGCTGGAATGGTGAAAACAAAAGAAATGTCTGACTATGAGGACCCTATAACCTATGAGGATGTACTGAGATCAGAAGCCCAAAATAATGGTGACTTAAGCAACAAGAATATCCTAAAGGTTTGGTACACTCTCACCTAAGGGAGAGCCTGACCAAAAGAGGGGAAGCAACTCTGAAATGACCAGTCTATCTTTGGTTCTTTGTTTTTGCTTTCTTCACAGGCTTTCTCTGTCCATGTAACCAACTCTGTTTATGGAAACATTCTATTTTATGGAATGAATTATTGCCTAATTCGAAATCAAAATAAAGCCAATTAAGATTATTGAAAAAAAAAACCACTATGATGGGTGGTGGGAAATTGCTCAGGAGAGAAGCTGGAGATTGGGAGGCTAGTGAGAAGGCAAAGTCCAAGTGAAAAAACCATGATATGCTAAGGCAGGATAGAGAAGGCAAAATTGGTAGTAGATTCTAGAATCATTTTAGAGCTGGGAAAGACCAGATAATGAGAAACTGAGGAAAAGATGAGGCCATGATGTACTACTGGGTAGCAAATGGGTCACAATTACTTGGCACTTTAGCTAGCAAAGAGTACTCCTGGGTACTAGCACATCCAACCCTCTCCAGCAGCCCTACTGCCCATTCATATCACCATTTTAATTGAGGAAACTATGGCCCAGATGAATCAGTATTAGACACCCTAGACAATGTTCCCTGGGAGGGATAAGTGAAGAAGAGTGAATCAGACCCTTTCTAGTGAGCAGAAGGGCCAGGATACTGTGATGAGAAAACACAAACCATCCCATCTTACAATAGGTTTGGATCCAATCTCTTTATTATCAGGGTCCCCCTCCTTGTACCACCCACCCCTCCAAAACTATAGAAAAACCCCAAGCCTGGGCTTGTCCTAGGGAGAGAAGGCAGAGTGTAGGGAACCCCCTTTGCTCTGCCACCTAGCCTGGGCAGTGCAGACAGGGAAGGTGCATGGGGAATGGGTAGACTGGTAACTCCACCTGCAGAGGATGTGACACTGGCTGGGATGTGGGGGGAGAAGTGCCTGCTGCCAGCTTTCCTCTGGCACCCACTACAGGTTGGCATCCATGGGTGGGTGCCCAGCTTGAGGTCTGGGACAGTGATGCCCTTCTGCTGGTGGCCGCTGCTCCTGTCAGGCTGAGAAAGAGACAAAGAAGACACCAAGGCTGAGAGGAAGGGACCCTAGTACTCTTGATCACAGGGGTAGGGAAAACGAACGGGTGGAATGATATCTGCAGACCAAGAGATACCTGCACTTTGGTTCTGACCTCATTTAATTTTCTAGCCATATAGTTATATGGGCAAGTCCTACCCACTCTCTGTGCTTCCATTTCCTTACCTAACCTGTGAAATAGCTTCACAAGGCAAAATTTAGCCTCCTTTTAAACAAGTTATGGAATTCCAAGAAGAAAGGCTGCACATGAGGCCTTTTCTAAGCTTAACTGTTCTGGAAGTCCTTGTGGTGGAAGTATCCTAAAACATGAATGTGTTATCTATCAAGACACCTCCCTGGGAGCATTAGAGTTTGAGGTCTCCCTTTACCCTAAGCCTGTCTTATTCTGAACATGGCCCCTTAAGAAATGTGTCAGATAGCTGGATGTGACCTAGTTTTCCTGTAGGGTAAGGCAGAGCAGGGCAGTGGATAGTGGTTAGTGAGCAGGCTTTAAAGTTACATCCACTGGGTTCCAAGCTAAGATACATCAATTACTATCTTGGGATCTTATAAGATATGTAGTATCTGCCTGCACCCTTCAGTAACTAAGTTTCCACATCTCAACCCTGCAGGGCCAAAGATGTAATCAGACAAAGCAGGTGCACCTACTGTCCCACAGGGCATTCCCCCCCACACAACAAGATCAAGCCTAAGCCCCTAAATCTAGCACATAGGATGCTTCACAGTCATCACCCTATGATGATGAACAGTGTTCTTTCCCTCCTATGTAGAACTGAACTGCAACATGAGAGAGTCCCTTGGCTTCATCACACTCCAAGGACTGTCACAGTGCTGCACCTCTGCTAAGGCTATTCCCTTGGAGTGGAATGCTTCTCCCTTAATCAGGAACAGGCTCAGCTACACATTGTTTCTTCCTCCAGCTAGACTTCCCTCCATTGTCATCCTGCTCATACCGGGTGGCAATTAATCTAGTCTGTATCTTCCTCCACCAGACTAGAAGTTCCTCAAGGGTGGAGACAGGCAACATGGCTCAGAGTGTGCTGAGGGAACCCTTGCTGAATGGGTGTGGCTATGCATGACATCCTGCTTCCTCAGCCTGCCAAGCTCCCACCACAGAGTGGTATGGCAAGATGCTGGATGTGAAGGGGCTTTCATTCCTCAACATAGTGCTACCCTTCTAGGCCAGCTCCAGGGAAAAGGCATGCCCTCCACTTCACTGTTCCCCTCCCTCTCCCACCTTCACGGTCCCCATACCTGCTTACTGCAAGGCCCCATCCTCCGCATCTGTGTCCTGGCTGTGCTCCTGATAGGGAGAAGGCAAGCAGAGACCACATATTACTGACGGCAAGATCTGAGTTCTGCCCTGATTCTACCTATCTATAAGGTCCTGGGGCCCAGAGCACATTTGGAGAATAGTCAGAAAGGAGGAGGGGCAGCCAAGGGGAATGATTATGGAACCAGCCAATAAGGCTGATGATTCTGGAAGGACAAATATGAGAGCCCCTCAGGAAAAAAAAGAAACCAGTCATGGGAGCTGTAGAAGTGGCAGGGGGCAACTTCTCTGCATAGAAAGACCTTGGACTAGAGCGAGCCGAGAGCTTTGAAGATTGGTGGGACCTCATCTTTGAAGGCATCTAAATTTTCATTAGGACCCTTAAGGAGACTACTAAGCCCAAGAAAATAAGATGAAGTATCAGGCTAGATTCAAAGAAAAACAAGTCAGGCATGAGGAGGAGCTCTCGACTGTTATGGTCACGAGCCCATCTATCCTCATGCAAGAGCCCAGCAGTGATAAAAAGAAGCTACAGACCCAGTGAGTAAGTTTGGCCTCCAAGCAGGGCCTGGTGGCGCACACCTGTAATCCAAGCGGGTTGGGAGGCTGAGGCAAAAGGACTATGGATTCATGGCAAGCCCCAGCAAGAGCAAGTTGCTAAGCAACTCAGTAGAGACCCTGTCTCTAAATAAAATACAAAATAGGGCTGGGGGTGCGGCTCAATGGTCAAGCATCCCTGAGTTCAATTCCTAATACAAAAAAAAAGTTTGGGCTCCAAGCCTGGCTTTTATTCCTTATTAACTCCAAGGCCCTGAGGAAGTTACCTGACCCCTCTGAGCCACAGTTTCCTCAAAGGTAAAACAGGGGAACAGTAATACTTTGTACAGTACAGAATTGTTGTTAAGAGTAATCAAGTTAGAAAGTATGGACTATAGGGTGTGGTGCTTAATGGGCAATCATTAAGTTAATGAGCAACAAGTATATAGCAGGTATCTTATATCCTCTGAGTCTGATCTACCCTCCCACTCAATGTAAGATCCTTGTCAATGGCTCCCTAGCCTGAATATTTCCAGTGTAGATAGGAACTAACTCCCTTATGAGACAGCATGTTTTATGCTCAAACAGCAAAGGCTTATGGAAAATCCTCATGGGGAACTGATACCCACCTCCCTGTGGCTTCCCCAGGCAACCCCAGTAATGCTCTCTCTCTGGAATTCTGAAGGCCATGTATGTGCCTCTTGAGCCAAATTCTCCCTTTCTCTAACCCACAAGGAGAATGAAGGCCAGAACAGGCTTTAGGCTTAGCTGAAATGTGCCTCTGTCCTCAGCAGAACTTAGGACTGACAGCTGAAACAGATAATTGCCTCTGGCTCATTCTTTCCTCCTCCCCAAAGGACTAGAACCTCCTAGGAAGAAGAGGAGGGTCAACCAGCTCAGAGGTTCCCCATCCCCATTGCCCTTCTGCCACCAGGAGTGCAAGTTCAGTCCTAGCCCCTCCTAGCCATGCCCCTGTCCAAGATCTCACCAATTCTTCCTCACTGTGTGTCAGCAGGCCCTCCTCGTCGCCATCATCTCGAGTCTGGATTTCTCCCTGAGGCGTGCCTGCCTCAGAAACTGCATCCTCTTGGGGGGCTGGTGGCCGGCTGCTGTTGCCACTATTGCCACTGCTACTGCCACTGCCTCCACTGCCGCTGCCACCGCCTCCACTGCTGCCACCGCCGCCACTGCTGCCACCTCCGCCGCCGCTGCCGCCGCCACCACCACCACCACCTCCACCGCCGCCGACACTACCACCACCACCACCACCGCCGCTGCCACTGCTGCTGCTGTCATTCTTCTTCTTGCCATCTTGGGGGTTAAGGGTAGAGGAAGAAGGACTAAAATTCAGCCTGCAAGAAATGCCTCTGCATAGTAGGTCCAGGTGGACTAGGACCTGCAGGGGTATGGGAAAGGAGGCCACCCCAGCCTCTCCTCCTTCCACCCCCCGGGGTGCACTATATTCCTCATGCTTTGTCCTGTGCACCTGGTCACTGAGCTGGGTGAGAAACCTCAGAGACTGACCTGGGTTGGCCTTTTGCTCCTCAGCAATTTGCTCCAAGCGGCCCAAAAGGGCATCGATGTTGGACTTGATCTGCGTCAGCTCTGTCTTGATGGTCTGCAGCTCACTGCTCTTTACTAGGAGTGGAAGGTGGACAGGGCTGTCACCTGGGGGCTTGACCCTAACAAAACCCCAGCCCCATTCTATCAGCTAGGAAGGTAATTCCTTTTTTGGTTCTTTTCCTGCCTAGGAAAAAGGCCTCTTGCTGAGGCTGACTGCAGGCTATCCCTAGAGTGATCAGCCCACATTTCTCATCCTGGCTGTCTTCCCCTCAGACCTCTTAATTTGAAAGGGACTGGGGATGAATAGGAATGCAAGTCTGTGGTATGCTCCTGTGCACCTGAGCAAAAATATGTCCCCTTGTTGTGTTAGAAGATGGAGCCTGTCTTTCAAGGTGTGAAAGCAGAGTCTTTTGCTATCAGATTTCCTGGGTGCCTGATTACAGTAAGTAAATATCAAGAGTGAATGCGAAATAATAAGCCTGTGTACACCTGTCCTTGTTTTTACTAGCAGAAAAAACACCATCTCCTCACTGAGCTCCATGCCACAGCACTAGACTCTCTGTGCCCAACCCAAGCCCCCTTCTTAATTGTTAACCTTTTCTCTGAGAAATGCATGAAAATACTCACTTTGTTGTGTTAGAGCGGCAGAACTGTGGGAGATTTGTTCCTTTATCTATTTTCCAATGTAAAAAAATGTGATTCTATTATTTTGCTAATGATAAACATATAAAATATCTAGGAAGAAAATTTGGTTACTCACACTTGATCTTGGCTGAGCCAGTGGTGATGGCTGTAGAACGAGCAAAGAGCTTGACAGGTATGGTAGTTTTGACACGACGGACCAAAGGTACTGTGACCCGGGGTCGCTTCACAGGGACTGCCCTGGGTACTGGCACAGGTGACAGGCGGCCACGGTAGTCAAAAAGCCTGTGAGGGCAAACAGGACAGAGGCTGCAGCATATAACCTGAGACTATCAGGAGTGGCTAGTGAGAGTCTGGGAGGCCTGTGCTACACACCTCTACTGCTCCCAACAAGCCCTGGGGTAAAGAGAAGGGCTTTCTGGTCCTTGACATTTTCTGGGATCCTCACTGTAACTACCTGTCCTGCAAGCCAGGCCAAGTTAGGGTGAAGAAGCAGCAGGTGAAAATGTTCATATCCCACCCCAAAAAGGAAAAAACAGCTCCAGAAACAAGCCTTCCCTAGAGTACTCTGACACCCAGATCTCCCCTACTACATGACCTGGCTTCTCCTCAGTCAACTGCCACCCCAACCTCTAGACAAAGCTTATAAATCTCAAAGCAGCACAAATCCCCAGTGGGGTCAGAAAGGCATGGAAGTGAGGGCTTGAGAGCTTTCCTAGCCTCAGTTTTTCCACCTGCCTAGAGGGGAAGGCTATACAAATTCGGTGTCTATCCAGGTCTGCTGTGAGGGTACAGGATAAAGAGAACCTGGTTAAAAACACATATTAGGAAGTGTTATAGGCAAAAGCCAGGATAGGAGTCCCCCAGCTCAAGACTCAGACATGAGGCTAGACTCATAAGTTCTTTTCTGTTTCTGGGCCTCTATAATATCTTTCTTGCTCCATTTCAGAGATAGGGAGACCAGGGGCTCAACAGCATATCAAATATGGACAGTTCAATCAGATGCTAGGGCCCTAGACTGTGCTGTTCCCACAAGCACCATCATCTGCCCCTTTCTAGGAGGGCTTCTTTTCCTGCCCACCAGGCAGAAACAGTAGGATGGGTAGGAGTCTTTCCTACTACATCTACTAACACTGTTGTATAGTAAACACAAATAGCCTTGGTCCAGGGTACTCTTTGGTACTATTTTCCTAAAGAAAGCCATGATACTTACCATCATTAGGCAATTCAATACCCCATTCCTTAGCACTCCTTTGTTTAGGGAATATCTGCTCTGGGGATAGTGATGGCTGGAAATGAAGAATCTATGGAAATGGACCCACTTCTGAACCCTGCATGTCTACCCCCAAGGGGAGGGGGCGGCTCTGGCCTCGGTCAGAATCACTGAACCACAGAATCCCCAAACTAGAAGAACCCTAAGAGATCACTTGGCACAGCCCATTTCACAGACTGGGAAGATTTGCCCCAAATCCCATAATCCATTCAGTGGCAGAGCTGGAATTAGCACCTAAGCCTTCTGACTTATAGGTTACGGCACTTTACCACACCACAGTGTAACCTGAAATCACTCACAAATGGAAAAAAACAAGGCTCAGAGGGGTTGTGTTCTTCCTGGGCTGCCTGAGGTCGGCAAATTGGAGACAGGGAGGGAAGCAAGGAAGAAAAGAGACTGGGCTACACTTTACCATAACTTCTATTCAAATGTGGCTGGTGCCACTGAAATGGGAGCCTACAGCTTCAAAGCTGGAGTTTGGGTAGGCTTGGAGTAAAAGGTGGGTGGGCCACAGGGGACTAAATTTCAGACCTCCAGATGGGTCCTATCCTCTTGGCTATAAATATAAGACCGAAAGACTCAGACTAAGCTCTGGATTTCCTTCTGGCTGGTTAGGCACCTCATAGAGGTAGAGACTAAAAAGCAAATTACAAGGGCTACAACTCCCTGCAACTGGCCTATACTATGTTTGTATTCCAACTAGTTATATTTTTATGTCCCTTGGTTTTACATTCCCTTCAAGTCACACTGCAGGACTAGTAGGAGGAAAAGCAATTACAGTGTGACCCAGTGTGATGTGACGGTGGGAGCTCTGGCCTGGGCACCTGAAGAATTGGACCCTAGTCCCAGTTCTACCACTGATTTGTGGAGTAACTTTGGGCAAATGCCTGTCCACACTTCTGGACTTTGGTGGGGCTGTACCAGCAATCTTTCAGGACCCTTCCAGCTTGGTTTTATGCCTGGGCACGCCCCTCCCCTGCTCACCTGTCGTAGAAGTCGTCCCGGTAGTAATCATAGCCAAAGCTGTAGCCACTGGGGAAACAAAGGGGAGAGGGCCAGAACTTAGGAATGGCCACTCAGCCTACTCTTCACAGGCCCTCATCTCCAAATGTCTCCCAAGCTCTAGGTTCAGCATTCCATCTCTATCAGCATCTGCTCCCTCTGTGGAAAGAGGGACCCACCCCATCCAGATAGACAGAGTGCCCCACCTGTATATGGCAGATGCTGCTCTCTTTAGCCCTTTGGGTCTATTGGGCTTAGGTTCTCCAGCCATGTTGATGTCTGTGAAAAAGGAGAAGGCAAGGTCAAAATATTGGCTTAATAGCAGTGTATCTATACATGTACATACACAGGTATTACATGTGGTTATATGATGTTTACAATGTACTGAGGCATCTAACAAAAGTCTTCACATATTTAGTCCTCAAACTAAGTGCATATTAGATGCATATTTGTATCATATGAATATGCCTGTTTACATATTCATATACATTTCAGACATTCATATTCACAAATCACATGTACATCATACATGTGCATTCTCAAATATAGTTACATAAACATATAAATCAGGTATATGGAAACACAGACAAATCCTAACATACATTCACATATCTAAGAAAGTCACACAGATAAAATGTGCCCTCTCATGTACACACAGACTTGACCCCAATATCATACATGTAACTGCTCATATGCAAAGGAGCCAATGCATATTCTCATGAACATCCCATCAAATATCTTTATGGTTAGAACAGTGCATAATACATAAGAACTCAACAAATATTTGGTAAATGAATATATGCATAAGTGCTTACATATTCAAGTATATTTTCACACACACTAGGACCTATACATACAAAGGTATGTGTCCACATATTCTCCACATGTTCAATTACATCTGTATACTTAGTATTCATGAACACAATGGGATATATATGAATATATATATACACACACACACACACACACACTATATATATATATATTCCTTCTCATACACACATATATAAATAGAAGTATGTACACACATATTAGATACTCCAAGATAGACTATCAGCATGGTCATATTATCATATGTATGTAGTACCAAGGCCAAGGGGACCTGCCCCGCTTTGATTTTTTGTTTCGATCCCTCCTCTTGGCTTTCAAAGTTCTAGTCTGAGTCATCTACAGATCAAAATAATAGACTATGCTAGTCCAATATGTCCCTTTCTTTGGAGAATATGCATTTTTATTGGAACCATAAAGTTTGTTATTGAGAATATAGCTCAGTTGGCAGAGTGCTTGCCTTGCATGCACAAGGCCCTGGGTTCAATCCCCAACACCACCACCAAAAAAAAAAAAAAAAGCCTCATTTGTAGTAGGGATAATAGTTTAAAAATAAAGCCATTAAAAAAAAAGAAGCACCAAGAAAGCAGGGACAGGACATAAGTGGTTTTCCAGAGGCTTCTAAAATTCTTTCCTGTGGTCATCAATTGTATAATTACTTCATTTATAACTTAAATATAATTTATAACTACTTAAATATAATTTATAACTATTGAATTATAAAACCTCAGAGCAATGAAAGTGTGGTAGGGGATGGGAAAGAGGACAAAGGGGAGGCGAAAGACAGTAACTACTCTGGAGTTATAAACTGAGCCCTGTGCAGAGAGGCTTAACTTACCCAGGGTCTGCCCAGCCAGCACCCTCCCATTCTCTCCCAGCACAGCTGCCCGGGCATGGCGTTCATTGGCATACTGGACAAAGGCATAGCCCTTGTGCACTGAACAGCCGGCCACACGGCCATACTTGGAGAAGATGGTCTCCACATCAGACTTCTTCACCACAGCTGTGTTGAGGTTTCCAATGAAGACCCGAGAGTTGATGGACTTGGGGTCATTCTTGTTGGTTACATTGCTTGTCTGGATTTTCAAGGACATGATGGCAACCTGGAGAGAGAGAAAGAGAGCAACTATGAGACTGAGTCCCAGGGCTCGGCTCAAGGGCTGTTTATGGACACATCCAGACTAAACTGGACTGCTCCTTGCCTTCCTACACAGTTCCACCCCTATTGCATCCAGCCTCCCTGTTTCTGTTATCTTGTTTTCTTGTTCTATTACCAAGAATTACCACATACTGGCTGCTGATCTTATGATGGGTGCTTTAAAATGTTCCCTCATTTGGTACTCACCTAAGTAGAACCACAATATTGTACATGGGAGGAACCTAACCTTCAGAAGTCATCATGCACTTCAGTAGGGCTGAGACTGACAAGTATACCTGATGCAAATTCTTTTAAGCCCACACCTTGTTTAATACTCATCTCAAATGTAACCCCTTTTGGAATCTAAATTTAAAGATGTTCCACAGGTTTCTCCCCTCCGTTCCTTCAATGTAAAACCATAGCAAAGAGGTAATTACAAATAATATTTTCTCTAGAACAATATCATATGCTCACTCTGATCCAGACATGGACGTAGTGCCGATGATGACAACTTTACCATAAATGGAGATGCTGCTGAGATCATTAACTTTACAATAACAGGTGCTCAAACCCAGATCGGTTGGCCCATTAAACTCATTTCTGTCAGCTTCATCACTTTGTTTCCCAGAGTAAAGGCAATTCAAATACCATAGTAAAATGGCATATTTACCTAAAACTGTTTTAAATATTGATACTTTTTTAATTCAAATTGTGTTCCATTTGGCTTAGAGATAAATTTGTAAATATTTTCTAGATTTTGGCATGTCTTTTACCCCAAAGGGTCATTCAGCATGGGCTCCAGGGAGAAGAGGAGGAGGTTCAATTTCAGCAGGAAAAGCCTAGAGTTAAGCCTTGGCATTTGACTTCCTGGACCCATCTTCTGTTCACTGGTACGAGTAGTTTCAATTTATTCTCAATCTCTCCTAAGGCCATTTCAGAAGGTGTTAGAGCACCCACGCAGAATGTGTAAAAATTCTCATCAGCCTACCAGCCTATTACCTAATATTTGGGGCAGAGAGGAGGGGTTTTCTTTTCAATGAATTAGAAAAGAATGTAAGCTGGGAAAATATGTTTATCTTGTATCCTACTCCAGTAAGAGACCCCTTATTTCTCCTAAATGCTCCCCGCCTAGAAATTAGCATCTTCTGACCAGCAGGTGGCTCTGTTTACAAGAAAATCTAACAGAATTTCATTCTGAGGAAGAAATATGCCCAGTGGTAGGTTTGCTATTGCAAACTCAAATGAATACACTGGGGTTGGGGTACACCACTCTTAAGCAAGGGACAGGGACGATGGAGATGAGGTGAGGCAGTGCCATCACTGCTACTGATATAAAGGAGCTAGTGCCAGTTTTGGAATTGACATGGAAAAGACAGAATCTTGTTTCTCAGTGTACTTTTACATCCAATCATCAACATTCATAAAGCATTGAGGGAGAGGGAGAGAGAGACATAATAGTACAGAGATCTATTGATGACTGCTGACTGCCATTGACCTGGCAAGGATATAACGGCTGTAGGTTTCCTCAGACCTCTGCCAGAACTCTCTAACATCACTGAGCAGGAAGCATCTGCTGCACACCCGTGTTAGGTACTAGCAACTTTCAGGTTTGGTCCCTACTCAGTCTTTTCTCTTACACCTGGGGTTTGGGCAATGTACATAAAAGAACTCTGCAAGCTGTCAAGTCCTTTATAAGATCTAGTAAATATTCTGACTACAGGTACTTTATTCTAATGCTGCTACTTGTGGGCTCATTCTTGATTAGGAGATCAAGGTCAGATAGGAGCACATTCTCTATCTTGCTCATGTGGCTGCTCTAGGTGAGAAATTTGCAGGGCCAAGGAGAAATGCCCACCTGGAGCATGCTGTAGGTACCCAACCCGAGTCTCCCATTTAAATAGCCCTCCTTTTTAAAGGCAAAAACCCTTGGAGGGCAGGCTATGCTGCTGCTAAATAGACTCCCTAAGCCTGAAAGTATAGATTTCTCTGGGATTGTAGAAAAACCTGTCCATGAGGCATCTCAAATGAGAGATGGAGCTGGGAGTAGGAAATAAATAGGAGGTGGGCCCAATACTGGGTCTCCCTGTCAGGTTTAGTGCAGAATTCCTAAGGGTCCAATAAGTTTAAATCCATATGACTTCTAGGTAGTTATAAATATAAATATCAGTTTGTAAGAGGCAGACTTGACAGAGCATGGAGTCAGCAAGTACTCAATTAATACTAGGGAGGAAGAAGGGTTTGTTGTGGCTTGCCTTAAATGGTTAGGACCACTGGGGCAGGGGTCCCAGGCACATTCTTCCTCTGACTCAAATACCCACCTCTACAAAACTAAGCCCCCTCAACTTGATACACTCCCCTAATTCTTCCTATGTTTAGAGGTGGGTTTAGACCCTAAAATTATATTGATATCCTATTGAGCAAAAGCTGCTTAACTTTTGTAAACTATTTCCCACCCTATGAGCCAATCTCTTGTCACAGAGATTAACTATGTAATTGAGAGTAAGGTGTGTGGAACAATGGAGGCCCTCTGTTTAGAAATGAGAGAAGACAGATGAATGACAAGATTGTTCTTGGTATTAGTAGGGAAGGAAGGGAGGAAGGGAAAAACCAGATTTGTTCCTAGAGATTTTTATAATGTCAGATAAAGAGAGACTTAGCGAGCGTGGAGTTCATATGCCCTCACTCTGAGGAACAGAAGGAAAGGTACTTGGCCAGGATACCACAGCTAGTGAGTAGAAAGGCCAAGAGTATCCTGAGGGGTCCTGATTCCAAGTCTAGGGTTCTTATATTCCATTTTTCCTTTTAGGCTAGTTAGAGAGAGCCCCCAGGATAGTGAGGAGATTGAAAAAGGCATAGCATCTCAAAAAACTGCTGAAGAAAACTAGGGGCCACCAGCCAGGTACATGTCCTTACCCTTACTGCTGAAGAAACAACTGCTGCATAAAAGTTGGAGCCTAAAGCTAATTAAAACCCACCAGGGGCAAAGATTTTGAAATGCAATTTACAACTCAAAAAGGAAGGGCTGGCTTTTCCAGGCTAGTAAGAACATAAGAAATTTGGCAAAAACTAATCATTTTTCCCAATTGAAACATTTGAGATGGAAACTATGTTTCAGAAGTCAGGAGCCAAGCCTCAACATGTAAAAAGGTGACAGTTTTACAAAGGTAGAAAAGCCCCAAAAGGCACCTCTACCACTAAACTTTGGGTAAATGAGACCTGGAGGAGCCATCACACTAAAAAGAACGTCTAATTCCAAGTGCCAATGCTGTGTCAGAGACTTTACACATCTCACCTCATTTAATCCTCACAACAGCTTCTGAGGAGGTGTTTTAGATAACTCAAGACTCAAGAGAGGTAGCTAGCTGATTAATAGAACAAAGCCAGAACTAGAACTCAGGTCTGTTTTTTGACAAGATATACAAGGGCAAAATTGCATATGCATAGACACTCATTTGGGTACTAATTTTAATGGTTAGAATACTTACCCTGAGTTAGTTCTTCCCCATTGCTACAATTCCTTATATTTGCACAAGATTTTCATAAACAAAGCCAGTTTATATCTACTATAGTCTGAATATGCACACCTCCTTCCTCAAGTTCTTTGTTGAAACCTAATCCCCAATGTGATAATATACAGGAGCCAGGGCCTGGCAAGTTTAATGAGATTAATAGATGTTCTGTCATCCCTGGCTGCCTGGTAACCAGAAGCCTCTGGACCAAGGAAGCTCTGGACATTGATCTGCTAACTGCTTGGCTTTCTCCAGAAATAGGCTTCCCATCATTCATTGATGGGTGATTTTTTCCCTCTAAATCACCCAGGTGTCCTCAGGGTTATCTAAGGGAAAAAGAATGGGGTCTTTGGGGAGGGAGGTGATTAGGTCATGAGGGCCAAGTCCCTTAGGCCCCAGAGTGATGCCTTGCCTTTTCCACCATGTGAGAACAGAGTGAAAAGACAGCTATTCCTAAACTGGTATGCAGGGCTTCACCAGACAGTAAATTTGCTGGTGCCTTAATATTGGACTTCTCAGTCTCTAGAACCATGAGAAATATATTTCTGTTGTTTATAAACACACAATTGTGTTATAGCAGCATAAAAGGACTAGGACAATATCCTTTATCTTGATATTATTAGTCCTATTTTATGGATTAAAAAAAAAGAAGAAGAAGAAGAAGCTGATGATCAGCAAATTTAAGTGACTTACTTAAAGGTCAACCGCCTAGTGAGAGTAGCTGGGTGATTTGTCTAACTCTCTACCGGCCACTGTTTCAATAGAGGTCTAAGCCTCTGTCTCTGTTATGTCTCTCCTGTGCTTTCCATTCCTCCCTTCAGATCAAACACAGGCTTTAAACACTGCCCAGCACTGGACTCCCTCCCACAATGCTGATCCCAAAGGAGGAACTGTTGCTCTTGGCCTCCATGGTTGTTTAGAACCTCTCTCTTAGTCTTACTTGACACTCTAGCTTTGTTCTCTTGCAAGGAGATGAGAGTCACAGAAGCCTGTGGCCAGTCCTCTGCCCTCAGATAACCCAAGGGACATTTGATTAGTTTTGAAGGAAAACAGATATCAGTAATGGGGAGCCTATTTCTGGAGAAAGCAAGTAATTTTACAGATCAGTGTCCAGGCCCTCCTTGGTTCACAAATTCCTGGTTACCAGGCAGCCAGAGATGACATAACATCTATTAATCTCATTAAACTTGCCAGTCCCCTACTCATTAGCATTGCCCAAATGATCATCACTGGCCAAAAAGGACTAATTTTCTCAGGAGTGCTCTTTGGCTCCTGAAACCCCAGCTCCCAGCTTGCCACACACAGAGGGTTCCTGAATAAGTAGAAATGTAAAGGGTGCAGGCTACAGTCCTAGAAGTCTTGGCTCTGCTGTTCTAAGTTATGTGACCTCATATCATGTAACTTCTCTGGGTCTTATTGTCATTATTCTAAAGAACAGATATCACCTTTTCTCCCC